TTTCACTAACTGGCTTCTGTTTTCAGTATTTCCTCTTTGTCACAAAATTTCAAATAACTTCTGTATCTTCTTCTTAGAAGCCAGAAATTTGCAAGCAGACATATTAGCAAGTACTACAATTTGCGTGCTAAGCTACACATCTCAAAAGTTACCAGATCTTGCAAAAATTTACACTGAGGCATATAAGGGTCCATCCATAATTTGACTCTTCCTTTTTCATGGATTATAATTTTTTTTCCTGCCTGAAAAATAGGCAAAAGCTTGTTCTGTATTAAAACTTCTCAGGTTATGGGGAAGGGTTTGATTTAAGAGACCTGTTCTGCACTTGCTAAAGGTAGGCATGCATTTTGCTGTGAAATTTTACAGTTAATTCATTTCAAATGATGCTTCCCTCCCATCCCCTTAATAATTTGTTCTGTGCTCACAAGAAACAGAAATGCCCTTCAGCACTGTTATCTGACAGGTTGGGAACAAGTATCATTGAAGGCTCAGCAGCTGAGACTGGAAAAAGAGGATAGGCAGCAAACCGATAAAGGAGTCTAGTGTATTTGTAACTTCAAATGAATACAACATTCCCATTAGGATATTGCTCATCAAGAAAAATCAAAGCCATAGTATGTACCATTGATTCTAAGGAGTGTGGCATAGTTAAGCCCTCTGAAAGAATAAAAGGCAGCCTCAGGACTTGACACATTTGCTGAATTAGTTCATTTTGATACCAAAAAGGTCTTTAGCTGCAGTAAGCAGAATTTAGTGGAGCTACCGTAACTCTCACCAACTGCTTTTTGCCTTTTAAACCTTAGCAGCACTCATAGAGGCGTCAACCCAAACACAGTTAGAAACAGTATGCAAGAGATCTGAAGAAAAATCTTTTATCTTCTCACAAAAGTCTTGCATCTATTCACAGACAATACAATCAGAACCAGTAATGGTACGGCATTGGGCAATGAATGAAGCTGTCATTGCTGCTGCAAAAGACTTCTAGTTGTGCCCAAGTAATTTCTAGATGCCTTAGAGCTGTTTTCTGATACAGGTGGAGCAGAGGACAGATGATTGTTGGGAAGGGAAGGAAAAAAAAGGAAGTAGCGCAGAAAAAGATTAATAATTTAAGGAAATGTTAGGAAAAAACCAAGGAAATTAGTGATTTAAGATACAAACCTCTGTTGTTTAGATATTTACAACTCTAAAGAGAAGAACTTGAAGTTAATTTGGATGAAAATGACATAGTATGATGTTGCAGTGGTACAACCACAAACAGAACTGCAAATGAGGGCTTTCAGTGTCAGCAGTTAAGAAGCAATCATGTTTCAGTGCATCAATGGCCACCAGCCATCATGAGTGATGTGATGTGAGAGAGGTCCAAAAGATTTTGGAGGATGTTTACATATTAAGATAAATTAAGTTAGACACAGACAAAAAACTTCTCTGTGAAAACCAATATGGGTGAACAACATCTACAAAATCCAGGTTCTTTGATAATATTTCTTAACACAGGCATGATAATTAAAGAATCCCAATCTTCCTCTTGGCAGCTGCCATTGGCAAAGTGCTAAACCACAGCATCGCTTGTTTTGGTAGCAGTGGGATATTGATGACTGGCTTTTGTTTGCTTGGTTGTTGTTTCAGACATACTGAAAATACAGTTCAAAAACTGTTCTATGAATGTTGATGCTGTAGAGATTTTTATTACTAAATCTGAGAAAGTTCAAATAAATCTCGGCTGTAAAATATTTTCAGTGAGTAACACTTTGCAATTACCTCAGATTTAAAACTTTCCCAATGGATACTGGATGTCAAATTCCTTTGTTGACAAAATAAGTAATAACAACTAAAAGAGAGAATTTGCTGAAGACAGAGGCAAGAAGTTCTTTGAACTGAGTTGTTCCAGTAATGATTATTAAGAAACATTAACTACTTAGTAATATTGCAAAAGATTACAGATTATTACAGATGATGGTAAAAAATTAGAAAATTAAAATATTTAGTGAATCCCTCTCCTAGTAAATGCAAAAGAGTAAAACTTTCAACTATACAGATGTTCTACTGACATAGAACAGGAATGTCAAGACCTCAGCTTCTTTTTTTTTTTTTCCTTCTGAGAACACAAAACAATTTAGTTGTATTATTCAAACAGTCCAAATAATGGGGCTTTAAATGTTTTACTAGCATTATGTCTTGAACAACATTATAGTCACAAAAACATTATGGTTGCTTTACAGATGATGCCAATATCTTTAAGCAACAGGATAGCCATAGCAGAACCAGAAGAAGAATTTGGATCATCTGATTCTTTGACCTGTCAGCTAGACTTCTACCTTCTTTTAATGTATAGCTTGTAACCACTTTTGAAAGTACAGCTATACTTCAAGAGCTTAAGTGCTGCTTCTTTATGGTATGGAACATCCCATATCACAGGAAGAAGTTTTTGTAGCTTTTAGCCTATTTCTCCACCTGTCAACAATATACACAAAATAAAAGAAAAACTATAGTCAGAGCCACTGGTTTCCATTATTAGCAATGCTCCTTCAGACAGTACCTGGACTAAGAAAACAATTTTAGCATCATCCTGATAATCAGCTTCAGACTTTCTGAGATTTTCTAGTATAAGTTTGTACTTCAAAAATGCTTCTCGTTGCGAAGCCTCATTATCAAGCTTACAACACAAGCGACATCTGCCAATGGTGCGGGAATTAGCAGGAACAGGAAACTCAGTAGATGGTAAGTAATTTTCACAACTATGACAGAAGTTAACATTTTTATAAAGCTTTAAGGGATCTGGTGGAACCTAAAATATTAAAAGGAAAAAAGTTAGTTTACCACAAAGTATCTTTGTATTACTTGTGTGTCACCCTAACTCTAGTGGAATACATTTTACATGTATTCATGCAAGTATTCTAATATGTAAAAGCCAGTAATAGTAATTTTAAAATACCTAATAGGGTGGTGTTTTTATTTTTTTAAATAGAACACCAAAAGCCATTCTATTTTCTTACTGTGCTTCTTAAAAACAGTTATACAAATCAGTCAATTTTTAAGCTATATGAAGATCCTAGACATTATGCTCCAGTGGTCTTACTGGCGCTTTTATGTATGCAGATTGCCAGCCACTCCAGAAAGATGACAACACAGAGAAAAGAGAAACTAATTCTTCTGCATTTAATTTTTCATATAGAATCTGCTCTTTATGTCAAAGATAAAACCCTGAGATTATGGGCATATTAATATTTTGGCATAAGAATATAAAATCATCAGAGCCACACGTTCAAAAACAATATAGGAGAAGATAATAAACTAAACTTGTTAATGACCTCCTCACCCTCATATTGCTTCATGGGTTCTGGAAAGAACTTAATGTAGTCTGTGCAGATGGCCCAAACCTGTAATTGGGTAGTTTGAGTAGTCTGATAGTCCAGCTACCTGTTACGTTCATCTGCCTTTTTTTGAAAGTACCCTGAGGATTTGGTCGCCTTGATGTCTGTTGATGAATTGCCACCTTTTTTATGGTTTGCAGAAGGTTACAAGATTCAAATACAAATATAGCTGCAATTCAGCCTTCAGCTCAAGGTACAGTTAACCAAAAGCTACATAAGCCAAAGATCTCCCATCTCCCCATCTCCAGTCTCTGCTATGACTCATCTAGGTAACTCTGCTCATAAACCTAGTGTAAAATAACTGCTGGTTGGTTCTAAATCCCACTAACATTTACTGACAGATTCACTACTCCGGAGATACCATCAACCACTGTAAGAGGAATCCTCTTCTGACAGATGCAGAATACATGTTGCTGCCTAAAGCAGCAACATTGATAGTGAATCATGTTTTTAATTATAATCTGTAGTCAGAAAAGAAAAACGATGACACAACTTGAGAGGTGTCTACCACTATCTCCACTTCATAGCTGTATCTGCTTCACATGAAGTCGCAACTGGTTGTACAAGAGAAGCTTGTAACAGCTCTTGCTTAGGTGCAAGCTCATTAGACATCACTTTGACAATGGCAATGTTCTTCCTTTCTGGACACATGGGATGCTGCCTCTTGTCCAGTGGAGAAAAGATAATTGCTCTCTCTTTGGTTCCCCATTTGCTATTACAATTTACTGTTACCATCCCATAAGATCTACCATTTACAATCCTCAGATTTTTTTATTTCATACATAGTGTTCCTGGGCTTTCTCAGTGCTACCAGCCATTTGTCAGCTTCTTATACCCATGTCTATGTCCCATGCTTCATATATGACTACATAAGCTTATTTGTGTGAAGCCTGTGTACTTGCTACATTTTACTTCTTGAGGAACTCCTCTAGCAATTCTACCACAAAATCTAAAACAAAAAAAGCTTTCAGTTTCCCATTCCCCTTCTCCACCATCCTTAGTTCAATGGCCGCTACGTCAGACTGCAAAACAGGAATAATACCTTAAGTATCCTAGCAACTTCAGGGTTAAACTTTGGAGTTTTAATATACCGAAGAAATAACGTACAAATTCTTTTCCTCAGTCCTTCCAAGTTGCATTCTTTCACCTCTCTTGACATAAGATCAACTTCCCTGTCAATTAATTCCACTATTTCCCGTGTTAAGTTACATTCATGTTCCTGAAAGAAAACACAAAGAAAAAGGAAAACAAACTCCACAACAATAAGGAAGCAAACAAACAAAATAATTTTAACACAGATATGAAAGCAAACTATAGATTCTTTGCCAGTCATCATTCATACCTCTGCATGTTCACATAAGAGCATGTTCATATAAGAACCCCATAGGAAAACAGTCTTAGTGTCTTAGGAAAACAACCTCCAAGAAAACTAATGTAAAGAATTAAAAAAAAATGAGAATGCTTACAGATCCTGCTTTAAGAGGCCTGTATATATACCAAAGCTGTGAGGAACTGTAAACCTGGCAGCCTTAAAAAATGCTAAGCAGAGGGACAGAACACATGCAAAGTTTTCAGTCCCCAAAAGCCCCAAGAAATATCTCCCTAGGAAGCTTCCTTTGGCTATGTGATAGGAGGTGTAATGTATAGACACAGTACATGGTTAAAAAAAAAAAACCCAAAACACCACAAAAAAACCCCCCACCAAACAAAAGGCATGGTGGACTTTATGAGTATGCTTGGAAATTAGTCATTTCCATATTTCAAATGCTTAGCAGGAGATTCTCCAGAGAGAGGTAAGAGGTGAATGAGTTCAATGTTTTCTCACCTAAAATAGAGTGCTAATTCACAGAAATTCTAGTATTTGTTCACTACAGCAATATTGACTTGTATTAAGATGGGCAGGAGTTCATAAACCAGCAATGCTCCCAATGCTATATTGGCTTTAGATCAAATTCTGGTACTACCAAAGCAAACAACAAGATGTTAATTTGTTTAATTAAGACCAGGAAGCAGCATTCTATTCCAGTTTGACATCAACAGTATCATCCTGAAAGTACCTTGAAACTCATATTATTCTTTTTGTACGTGAATCGATGGGCTGAGGCCAATTGTATG